AGGGTTCAGGGTTTAGGGATTAGGGTTAGGGTGTAGAGGGTTTAGGGTTTAGGGTGTTCAGGGTTTAGGGTTAGGGTTTTGTGTGCATGGTAGGATACAGGATCCTACAGAAGCTCGGAGGTGACCGTGGTAGGGCTTTTTTATAGGGCTTAAGCTGAAAATCTTGCGTCTTGGGATTAGGGCTTCGGGTGAGGGCTTCGGTTTTAGGGCTTATAGGGTTTAGGGTTTTAGGGTTTTAGGGTTTTAGGGTTTAGGGATTCGGGTGTGACAGCTCTGTATGTTGACCAAAAAAACCCCTCCTTCGTACGGCACTTTGGCACTGCCATCCGGAACCCTAAACCCTAAACCCTAAACCCTAAACCCTAAACCCTAAACCCTAAACCCTAAACCCTAAACCCTAAACCCTAAACCCTAGTGAAAGAAGTTGCTCGTGTTCGGGATGCCTGCTGCTGGGAGGAGTCGCACACACTGAGCCGCGAGGCCCGGCCCCACCAATCTCCCAGAATCGGGCTGCACAGAGTGGTGCCACACGCAGGGCCAGCTGAGCTGCCTCCTTCCGTTCAAGTGAACCCTGAACCCGAAAACCCCAAGCCTAACACCCTGAAACCCTTCAAAACATAATTCGAAATCCCTCAGCCCTCAGCCCTCAGCCCTGAACCCTGAACCCTAAACCCTAAACCCTAAACCCTAAACCCTAAACCCTAAACCCTAAACCCTAAACCCTAAACCCTAAACCCTAAACCCCAGTGAAAAAGCACAAGTGCTTGAGCCCTGCCGGGTGCTCCCGGCGCAGTCGCCGCGTCGGGCCCTGGCGAGTCGCCGTGCATTTCAGTCTGGGGTTTAGGGCTTAGGGTTTAGGGTTTCGGGTTTAGGGCTTAGGGTTTAGGGTTTGGGGCTTAGGGTTTATAGGGTTTTACAGGGCTTAGGGGGTTTAGGGTTTACAGCGTTTATAGGGTTTATGGGGTTTATAGGGTTTGTAGGGTTTGTAGGGTTAATACGGATACTAGTCTGATAGGGCTAGTAGGGTTTGTAGGGTTTAGGGTTAGGGTATAGGGTTTCTGGGGCTTAGGGTTTAGAGTCTACAAGTTTTATAGGGCGTTACAGTGTTTCATAGGCTTTACATGGTTTCATCGCGGATTGAGTGCTATCGGGTTTATAGTGTTTTATAGGGGTTGTCTAAGGAGATATAAGACTCGGGCTAATGGGGTTTACAGGGCTTGCAGATTTGCAGGGTTCAGGGTTCAAGCCCTAGACTCTTTATGGTTTGGGGTTTAGGGTTTTGGGTTTTGGGTTTTGGGTTTTGGGTTTAGGGTTTAGGGTTGGACCCAGGAGCAACCTAAGAATAGAGAGGGTACCCTTTTGGGTTTTAATTGCGTTGCAAGGGAGCCCCAACCCTACAAAAAACCCTAAAAGCCTTAACCCTAAACCCTAAACCCTAAACCCTAAACCCTAAACCCTAAACCCTAAACCCTAAACCCTAAACCCTAAACCCTAAACCCTAAACCCTAAACCCTAAACCCTAAACCCTAAACCCTAAAGGGCTACTCCGGGTCCTGGAGTTTAAAACTCAGGGTTGAGCATTCCGGGTCGACAGTTTAAGTGCTTAGCGGCTCCAGGCTCGACCCGCCCAGCCCTTCACCCCTAAACCCTAAACCCTGAGCTAGGAATTTAGGGTTTAGGGTTTAGGGTTTAGGGTTTAGGGTTTAGGGTTTAGGGTTTAGGGTTTAGGGTCTAGAGGGTCACTGTTCTAGCATTCATAGTCACTAGGGGGTTCCAGGCTTAGGAAAAAACCCACCCGCCCAAAGAATCCCATAGCATTAAGAAAATATAAAAGTTTCATCCAAGGACTTGCCTTAATCGACGAAGGGCTTGCCTTATTCGACGAAGGACTTGCCTTATTCGACGAAGGACTTGGCTTATTCGACACAGGACTTGGCTTATTCGACGAAGGACTTGGCTTAATCGAGGAAGGACCTGGCTTATTCGACGAAGGACTTGGCTTGTTCGACGAAGGACTTGGCTTGTTCGACGAAGGACTTGGCTTATTCGACGAAGGACTTGGCTTATTCGACGAAGGACTTGGCTTGTTCGACGAAGGACTTGGCTTATTCGACGAAGGACTTGGCTTAATCGACGAAGGACTTGGCTTAATCGACGAAGGACTTGGCTTATTCGACGAAGGACTTGGCTTAATCGACGAATGTCGGAGAGTGGCCAGGATCCGGCCCTTCGTCGATTAAGGCAAGTCCTTCGTCGATTAAGGCAAGTCCTTCATCGAATAAGCCAAGTCCTTCGTCGATTAAGGCAAATGAGCAAGGATTGCCTTAATCGACGAAGGACTTGCCTTAATCGACGAAGGACTTGGCTTAATCGACGAAGGACTTGCCTTAATCGACGAAGGATTTGCCTTATTCGACGAATTTACAAAGGTTTAAATATATATATATATATATATGAAGAGAAGGTTTAGGGTTTAGGGTTTAGGGTCTAGGGTTTCGGGTCTAGGGTCTAGGGTCTAGGGTCTAGGGTCTAGGGTCTAGGGTCAGGGTTCAGGGTTTAGGGTTTAGGGTTTAGGGTTTAGGGTTTAGGGTTTAGGGTCTAGGGTTTAGGGTTTAGGGTGTTAGGGTGTTAGGGTGTTAGGGTGTTAGGGTGTTAGGGTGTTAGGGTGTTAGGGTGTTAGGGTGTTAGGGTTTAGGGTTTAGGGTTTGGGGTTTGGGGTTTAGGGTTTGGGGTCTAGGGTTTAGGGTTTAGGGTTTAGGGTTTAGGGTTTAGGGTTTAGGGTTTACCCTAAACCCAAAACCCAAAACCCTAAACCCTCGAGCCCCCTGTAACTTGAAATTATTAAGAAAAATCCAAAAACGAAACTCCTCGAAACTTCCCCGGACCTGAACCCTTAATAATTTCAATCAAGCCCCCTGTAACTTGAAATTATTAAGAAAAATCCAAAAACGAAACTCCTCGAAACTTCCCCGGACCTGAATGAAACCTTAATAATTTCAATAAACCCTGAACCCTCTACACTGCCCCCGCGAAAGTCTTGCCCTAAACCCTACGACCTATAAGAAAAGCCCAAACAAGCCTCCTAAGTAAGGGTTATAGCAACTTATAACCTTGTAACTCTAAACCCTAAACCCTAAACCCTAAACCCTAAACCCTAAACCCCAAACCCTATAAAACCTAAACCCTAAACCCTCTCCAAATAGCGCAAACTCCCAGAATTTCAGGACTGGTGAGACAGGCAGCTGGACTTTGGTGGCACTTAGGGTCTTGGAGTGCTTAAGCAGTCGGACTTAGGGTGGTAGGGGTTTAGGGTTTAGGGTTCAGGGTTTGGGGTTGAGGGATTAGGGTTTAGGGTTTAGGGTTTAGGGTTTAGGGTTTAGGGTTTATTAGGGTTTAGGGTTTATTAGGGTTTAGGGTTTAGGGTTTAGGGGCTCAGAGATGTTTTCGGCCCTTCAGGATCCTTTTGAACCCAAACATCCCTCAACCAAAAGCTCTGCCGGGGACGCCCGAAGAAGCGCTCATCCGGACACCGGTGGCTTCTCAGTGAGGCGCCCCTTGCTTGGAGGTTCGTGGTACTTAGTAACCCAATTACAACTGCACTTAGAACTTATAACCATGGTAGAACCATATTGGGGCACTTAAAGGGCTGATTAAAACCTCTAAGTGTTCGATGTGGTTGCGGGGTTTTGGCGGTTCAGAATTCGGTGGCTTAAGATGGTTTGGGGTTTAGGATGGTTTGGTTTGCCTTGTGGTTGACAAGTCAGAGGGGTTTGGGTTCGCTTCCCGAAAGTAGGGGTTCATGCACACGCGCGCACACACACACCTTTCGCGCTCGTGCAGCTACAGCCCCTAAACCCTAAACGCTAAACGCTAAACCCTAAACCCTAAACCCTAAACCCTTAACCCTTAAACCCTAAACCCCAATGCGTTTGGAGTTTAGGGCTTCAGGTTCAGGGCTTGAGGGCCTGGGGTTAGAGTTTAGGACCCGGAGCGCAATATGAGTGCGGACGCCTGGCGAACCCGTTCATGCTGGCAGGGACACGATGAACAGCAAGCATTCTGGCTCCAAAGGAAATCACTGACTTCAAGCAGCACGCCCTAAACCCTAAGCCCTGAACCCTAAAGAGTTTTGGGAGTGGTCAGAGGAGTTCATGGTTTAGGGTTTAGGGTTTAGGGTTTAGGGTTTAGGGTATCCCTTTTATTTCCACTTCTCTTGCCCCATCGCATCTCGGCTTTAGGTCTGCGCTCATGAGACATGGGGGTTGCTCGAAGTGCTGGGTCACATGTTGGTACACAAATCTTGAACCCTAAACTCTCAACCCTAAACCCTAAACCCTAAACCCAAAACGCTAAACCCTAAACCCTAAACCCTAAACCCTCCAGAAAATTCTAGGGTCTATCGGGCTTCAGGACTTCGTATGTCTTACTGGGTAGTGGCCCGCGCCCAGGATCAACCCCCACGCGCCGATTCTCGGCAGAGCCCGTACTAAGGTCGAGAGTTCGAGGTGAGGCCTTCAGCTGGAGGACCCTAAACCCTAAACCCTAAACCCTCAACCCTAAACCCTAAACCCTTCAGCTGGAGATGTGCCCAGCCGGCCTGAAGAAGGCCGGCCTTCTGTGGCAACCTCTAATTGCACACGCTGCACCTGCTTGGAGATTCATGGTAAGGTGTATAGGCTGTGTAGGGCCTATAGGGCTTCTAGGGTTTATAGGGTGTATAAAGGGTCTGGGGTGTAGGGTGTATACCCTACACACTAGACCCTAAACCCTAAACCCTAGACCCTAAACCCTAAACGTTTAGAGGGTTTACGGTTTGCTTTTAGCTCCAGTTACGTCGAGTCCGACCCGCTTCGCGAGTACGTCATGAACTGCCAGGTGCTCCGGGATGAAACGAATATTGAGAGGGGTCCATTTGTAGTACCTAAACCTAAACCCTAAACCCTAAACCCTAAACCCTAAACCCTGGCTCCATAGTAGTGCTACGAATGGACCCCCTGGGATTACTTCTGCAACCACACGTCGCCATCACTCCAGTGTATGCTGGCCTGCGCATGCAGGTGAACTTTGCCCAAATTGACACCTTGGCTGCACGTCGGCTTCCTACGAACAAAATCAACGTGCAGCTACCTGACTGAAACAAAGTGAGGCTTTTAACTATCAGAGAAACAAGGGTTTAGGGTTCAGGGTTCAGGGTCTAGGGTTTACGGTGAGACACAACCATCAAGCTCGAACATGATGACGTCGCTGGCCAAGACCTGCAGAGGTGTCTCCCCCTGTGGAATCCTCCAATGGATGTGCCAGAGCATGCCTCCGTTGCCAGGTGAACACTCTGAACAGCCCAAAGCAGACGGAAGGGTTAGGGTTTCGGGTTTAGGGTTTAGGGTTTAGGGTTTAGGGTCTAGGGTCTAGGGTCCAGGGTTTAGGGTTTAGGGTCTAGGGTCTAGGGTCTAGGGTCTGGGGTTGGGGGTCCCTCCCCTAGACTCCACACTCTTACCTTAAACCCTAAACCCTAAACCCTAAACCCTAAACCCTAAACCCTAAACCCTAAACCCTAAACCCCAAACCCAAACCCCAAAGCCAATTCAACCTCGGGCTGCTGTCGCCGCAGATCTCCCCCACGCAGAGTCCATCGATCTGTCGGTACCACAAGCCTTGGAACCGGAGTGAAGTGTTGCTTAAACCCTAAGACCTAAGCCCTAAGCCCTAAGCCCTAAACCCTAAACCCTAAGCCCTAAGCCCTAAACCCTAAACCCTAAACCCTAAACCCTAAACCCTCCCCCCCCCCCCCCCCCCCCCGGGAAACAGAAAAAGGGAAGAACTGCCTCTGGATATCTCTGGATCCTGGGAGCCTTGGAGTCTGTGCCAGAAGTCGGAAGTATCCTGGGTGTCCGGAGGAAAGCCTGATGGGTCCTGGTCATCGGGCTTAGGGTGTAGGGATGTTTAGGGTTTAGGGTTTAGGGTTTTTAGGGTTTAGGGTTTTGGGTTTCGGGCAGAAATCCAGAACCCTTTGGGCTGTGTGGGTTTGAGGTTTGGGGTTTGGGGTGGGGGGGGGGGGGGGGGGAATGGCGGGTCTTTTTGGTGCTGGGTTTAAAAGTGTTCGGGCTTTGTTCCACCTTGCATAGGCGCGGTTTTGAGTCAGTCCTTTGAGCGCTGCGCTTGCCCGCACAAAAAGTTGCTGAAGTCTGCATCATTATCGAGGTTGGGGATGCCGGTGACGCTCTCCGGCATGCGACGATCACTCTGCGCGCGGTCCTTCTGGAATTAGGAGCGTCTGGGGCGTTTCTGATATCCTAAACCCTAAACCCTAAACCCTAAACCCTAAACCCTGAGTTACACCGAAACCCGATCTGCTCGGACGGGGCGGTTCCACTCAGAACCAGGAGCTACTGCGACCCCCACCGCACCCCGTAGAACGCGAAGCGATGAACATGCTTGCGAGAAAAACCCTAAACCCTAAACCCTAAAACCCTAAACCCTAAACCCTAAACCCTACACCCTAAACCCCCACCCCCCCTAAACCCTAAACCCTAAACCCTAAACCCTAACCCTAAACCCTAAACCCTAAACCTCGGCACCGTAGCAGGCTTATGCGTATGCTGATGACAGTGCAAGTGGCGCAGTTTCGGGGCTCCCTAATGAGTTGCCGGCATAAACGTCCCCGAACTACTTGTGGCAGGAAGATGAGGCCCCCAGGTAAACCAGCAACATGACTCCTAAATATGGAAAAGACTTTGTACCAATATCTAATGTATGTGGGGTATATTCTTTCCGAATTGTATATTGTCTTGTTTCTTATTTTGACCATGAGCTCGAAAGCCCTGTCCCCCGTGCGAACGCAGATCACGCGGTCGCAGCTCGCGCGAGCACGGCTGCATTCACACTCACGAGCTGCGAGGCACTCGCAGCCCCTGCCGCAGGAGAAGAGCTGAAGCCACCACATCACTTTTTAACTACAAGCTGGGCCCGTTTTGAGGGTGCTTGGAAATGTAAAGAACCTACTCCAAAGAAGAGGGTTGAAATTGAATCGAACACCCCACGTTAAGATTCTGTAGCTTCTCCAGTGTTAGGCTTGGGTGGGGGGCTTCGGATCGGACTCAACACCCACTTCCGCCCAGAAACCGTTTTCAGGGCGTCTAGGACGCCTAGCTTAGGATTTTAGAGTTCAGGGTGCATGTTTAGGTTTTTCCCTGAAAGCTCCACTCTCCCTAAACCCTAAAGACTATATAAACCCTAAACCCTGAGCCCTAAACCCTAAACCCTTCGTGGGTCTTGGCGGCCACAGCCTGCGGAAAATCGCTGTGAGCCAGACAGAGCGGCACTTGGCTTTGAACCCTTAACTCTAAACTCTGAAGGGTTTAGGGTTTAGGGTTTAGGGTTTAGGGTTTAGGGTTTAGGGTTTAGGGTTTAGGGTTTAAGGTTTAGGGTTTGGGGTTTAGGGTTTAGGGTCCAGGGTTTAGGGTTTGGCGTTTAGGGTTTCGGGTTTACGGGGTTTAGGGTTTAGGGTTCAAGCCTCAACCCGAAACCCTAGACCCCTTTCAGAGTTGAAGGTTTCTTAGGTTTTGGCAAGGGCCTTATCGGACGTAGGCTTGTCGGGTCCCTCCATTTTGGGGCACTTGGCTCGTTGAGGTTCTAAGGCTTCAAACAGGATCAGGGTTCAGGGCTTGAACTGGGGTGATCAGGCTTTAAGGGGTTCTGGGTTAGGGAACCCTAAACCCTAAAACCCTAAACCCTAAACCCTAAACCCTAAACCCTAGGGTTTCGGCCATTTGCACGCTTTGAGAGGATTAGGGCTTAGGGGTTTACCAGGGCGTGAGTCGTGCTTTAGGATCGAGGCAGGGGGTGGGGAGAGATTTGGGTCTTGGGTTTTGGGGTTAGGGTTTAATGTTGAGGCTTGAGGCTTAGGATTTAGGGTTTAGGGCCTTAGGGTTTAGGGTTTAGGGTTTAGGGTTTTGGGTTTTCGGGTTTAGGGTTTAGGGTTGAGGGTGCAGGACCTTAGGTGCATGCCACATGAGCCCCGGACAGCAGCGGCACCGCGTGATGCAGGCCCTGCAGCACGGCATTCATATAACCTGGCGCTTCTTGGGCCCCTTTTGGGGCTCAGGGTTTAGGGTTTAGGGTTTCGGGTTTAGGGTTCCATGGGGCCCAAAAAGAAGTGCAAACCCTCAACACCTGAACCCCCGAAACGCCTGAACCCATCAGAACCCCACTTCCAGATTGATGTTTTAAGAATCAAACGGCACTGCTATGATCTTATATCATCAACCTTTAGATCATGTGCTCCCTTCCAGCCCCCTAAACCCCCTCAACCCCGTAAACCCCGTAACCCCCCCCAAACCCCCTAAAACTAGACCCCCTAAACCCATAAACCGTAAACCCTAAGCCCTACTAAGTGTTTCCAGCTTGAGTTCCGTCACCTCCCACCTTGTGTATCTAAGGGGTTTAGTAGGTTTAGGGTTTAGGTTATAGGGTCTAGGGTTGAGGGTTTGGGGTCTACTGTTTACTAAGGTTAAGGTTTGGGGCTTTAGGTTCAGGGTTTAGTTGAACCATGCAGGTCTAATTCTGTTTCAGATGTCGTGGAATTTGTACAAGGGGTTTAGGGTTGAGGGTTTAGGGTGTAGGGCTTACGGTTTTTAGGGTGCATACCCGCAGAGCAGTTGGTGCTCTCGGGCGTTGAGGGTTCCTAAGGTTTGAGGCTGCCCAGACCCCCTGACCCTTAAAGCCCTACACGGCCAACGGAAGCGCGCAAAACCCTACTTGGTAGCCCAGTACCCATGCTATGATAAGGGTACCTTGGGTTGGACCCAATCTTATTAGTCTTTCAACAGGATTTTAACATTACAAAGTTTATGAACGGTCAAGAACTATTTTTAACCAATCATTAATTCCTTATAATCTTCTCTGGGACGTATTAATTGGTTTCCAAAATACCAAAATATATTAATATTGTAGCATCACGAGTGAACAGATGCACGCGTATGAAGAGAGCAACCAGTGAGCCCCGTGAATACCATGCGAATACAATAAGTGAATGGGGGTACGAAGTCTATTTCATAATTAATATGCTTTTCCCCTTCTCTTTTCGTCCTTATCGTCCTTATAATCATTATATTCACGGCCTTACGCATAAACTCATTCTATTCTATGGGCGTGTTATTCATTACATTTACTATTCTCACGGGATAAGAAGAAGATAAAAGAGAAACCCCAAACCCCGAACCCCAAACCCTAAACCCTAAACCCTGGCAAAAGGTCACCACTGGGCTACCAAGCCTAAAACCAAAAACATGGCCGGGCGGGCAGCAGTTGGCCACCTCGGCTGTGTGGTGAGACTCCGATTAGGGTTTAGGGTTTAGGGTTTAGGATTTAGGGTTTAGGGCTAGGGTCCCCCAGACCCTAACCTACTGGCTCTTAGTATCCCTGAAATGAGGGAATTCAGTACCTGATAGACCCCTACCAAGTAGAAACCCTGGCTTACGGTGCCTTAGATACCCCTCCATTCCCCTTACAGGTACCTTATGGACCAGCTCATCAGCTCTCTTGTTGACGTCCACATAGGCGAGCATGAGCTTGGCAACACAGTCCTCCTCGAAAGCCTTGGCCGCCGCCTGGTTCTCCAGCTCGAGGCCCCACTGCGATGCCTTGAGAGCCGCAAGCTCGCGCTGCAATGCATCCACCTGACGCTGGAGCTGTTTACCCTTCTCCCTGTCATCCTCCCAGCGGCCCGTCTCTCTGCGAAGCCAAGACTGTCCTCTATTACAGCCTTTCTTTTTCTTCTTCTTCTTTTTCTTGGGCTCCTTGGGCAGCCGGAAGCCAGCTGGCGGCTCTTCACTGGGGCCACGCCATGACGAGCCCGGCTCGGCCGCTGCCACACTCATCTCCCGCAGACTGCCAAGTATCCTGTTGCCATCGCCACCATTCTGCCCACTCTGCTGCAGACCACGATGAGGGATTCTACAAGTACCTGGTAAGCTATACGGGCTCAGAGTCCGAGTGGTCTGACATGGCTTATAGGCTTTGTAAAGTTTGCAAGGGTTTATAGCTTGGTAGCCCAGGCAACCATACTGTAATAAGGGCACCCGTTTTGGGTTCAGGGTGTAGGATTTAGGGTTTAGGGTTTAGGATTTAGGGTTCAGGGTTTCCCATAACCAAGAAAAGGGGTAAAGGGTGCCACTGGGCTACCAAGCGAGGGTTCCTGAGGTTGGCAGGGCATAGGGGCTTCATCCACACACCTTTAATACAGGGAAATGCACCAATCATTAAGGGACATTTCCCTTTGTAGGCCTCTACTTACACAGGCTTTCAGGTTCGGGCTGTAGTATTCTTGCGAATTAGGGGTTTAAAGTTTGGGAAGGGAGGGTTCGCGTATTCCTTTTGTAGATAGCATGTAGAACATGAAGAATACCTCAGAGAGCAAGCGTATGCGTTGCAGATGAGCTCGTGAGCGCACAATATCGCACCGTTCTTGGATGCACCGACTCCCCAGAAAGAAAAGCCGCATGATATGGGACATCTGCAACAGGGCTGCTATCATGGGACCCGATACAACCGCCCACCCCTACCCCAACTGCCCCAAAGCAAGGCCCAGACAAGCCCCAAAAAATGGCTCACATTGATCGCATTCTGCCATGCGTGCGGGCCTGTCGCCTGTCAAGGAACCCGAAACCCTAAACCCTGAATCCGAATCAAAACCCAGTGCAAGTACAAGAAGGTACCCCATAACTACTTATTGCTTAAGAACCCCGAGAAAATACAGCAAATTCTTCCTTACTAAGGGTTATATAGTCTAAACCCTAAACCCTAAACCCTCAACCCTAAACCCTAAAGATAAGCGGGCATTTCTCAAGGGAACTGAACCCTAAAGACTGCGAAGGAAGGACCTCTCGATCTAAGGGGACTATATGAGCCCTAACCCCTAAACCGTAAAGATGATGGTTCAGGGTTTAGGGTTTAGGGTTTAGGGTTTAGGGTTTAGGGGTTGAGGGGTTTAGGGGTTTAGGGGTTTAGGGGTTTAGGGGTTTAGGGGTTTAGGGGTTTAGGCGTTTAGGGGTTTAGGGGTTTAGGGTTTAGGGGTTAGGGGTTTAGGGTTTAGGGTTTAGGGGTTTAGGGGTTTAGGGGTTTAGGGGTTTAGGGGTTTAGGGGTTTAGGGGTTTAGGGGTTTAGGGGTTTAGGGGTTTCGGGGTTTCGGGGTTTCGGGGTTTCGGGGTTTTAGGGTTTATGGGGGTTTCGGGGTTTAGGGTTTATAGGGGTTTCGGGGTTTCGGGGTTTAGGAGTTTAGGGTTTAGGGTTTAGGGTTTGTAAGGTTTAGGGTTTCGGGTTGAGGGCTTAAGACGGCCAGGTGGCATTTCGCAGCCCCCGGGGCGGCATGTCGCCAAGGGAGAGGTCGGCGCCGTCCAGGAGCCTCCGGCATTTGGGGTTGAGGGTTTACGGTTAGGGTGTAGGGTTTAGGGTGTAGGGTGTAGGGTTTAGGGTTTAGGGTTTAGGGTTTAGGGTTTAGGGTTTAGGGTTTAGGGTTTAGGGTTTAGGGTTTAGGGTTTAGGGTTTAGGGTTTAGGGTTTAGGGTTTAGGGCTTAGGGTTTAGGGTTTAGGGTTTAGGGTTTAGGGTTTGGCAGGGCAGCGTCGAAGAAAGGGTGCGTTCTTTGGCTGAGGGTTTAGGATTTTGGGATTAGGGCTTTAAGGGCCTTGGGGTTTAGGGTTTCGGGCTTGGGGGCTTAGGATGCTAGACCGGGCATCTTCCGTCAGGCAGCCTTGGAATTCAGTGCTGGGAATCCTCCGTTACTGGAGCTGAGGGTTCGCCAGGCTGCTTTTGGCTTTAAATTGCAGGTTGGGTAGTTATGGGTCGGATTTCGACTTTCGGGTTTAGGGCTTAGTGTAATCTTCGGGGCCTGTTTATTCTGGCGTGCCTGCGTTTTTCGGACATTGACTGGCCCTTTGTTAACCCTT